GCAGGGCCGGCCTCTGCCCTGGCACCTCCCCGCACGCCGGCCTCGGGGCACCCCGGAGGTGCAGCAGCTTGTGCATTAGCAGAAACATCGGGGTCTTTATCCTGCTTTTTCTGACCGAGCCGGGGCCTGGGATGGTGAGCTGGGGGGGGCTGCTCCCAGGCCTGGGGTCGGCACTGGCTGGGGCGCTCCAGCTTAACGCTTCCTCTCCCTTTTCTCTTAGAGAAGAGACAGGACAATGGGCGAGTGTATTACGTGAACCACAACACACGGACCACGCAGTGGGAAGACCCTCGCACACAGGGGTAGGCAGCCTGCAGGGGGGGCTGGGAGGATGCTCGCCATTTCGGAAGGTCTGAGCAAGGGGCTACCAAGAGCCGGCCGAGCCCCCGGATGGTCCTGCAAGCCGGGGGGGTGAACACCCTGAGAGCTGTGGGCAGCGCTGGAGCCCTGATGCTGTGGGGCAGCTCCCTGGCTTGTGGGAGCTGAGTGTGGAGATGAGATCGCTAGGACTGAGGAGCAGGCGATGGGGAAGACTGCAGGGCTGTCTGGGCAGAAAGAGGCGCTTTCTTCTCACCCTGTCACCTTCCACAGGGCTCTGCTCGGGCTCCTGAGAGCTCCGGGTTGTGGCTCTCTGGAGGCCTGGCCCAGGTCTCCCCTGAGCTCCCCTCTCCCGCAGACGGGGAGCAAAGCTGTAGCTGTGGCTGCTCCTGGCTGCAGCCAAGCGTGTGGCCCGGGCAGGCTCCTGTCTCGGGGCGCAGGCGGGTGTTTCCCATCCCATCCATCCTTCCTTTTGCCTGGCACAGAGCTGCAAATTGAAGGTGGTCCCCAAGTGCAGGTGTTCTCAGGGCCGCAGCTCAGGGCGAGAGATGCCCCTTGACCCCGTCCTTGTCTGCAGGATGATCCAGGAGCCGCCGCTGCCGCCCGGCTGGGAGATGAAGTACACGAACGAGGGCGTGCGCTACTTCGTGGACCACAACACTCGCACCACCACCTTCAAGGACCCGCGCCCCGGATTCGAGTCTGGGTGAGCGCTTTGGGACTGGGCCCCTCGCCCTGCAGCCGGGCCTGAACAGCTCGTCCCTTCCCGTGGTGTGACACGGAGTGGGGGACGTGGGTCAGCTTTGTCACAAAGACACTGGGCAGCCGGTCTGGGGGCTCGTGTTTGGCTCTGAGTGAGGGGAGCTGCGCCCCAGAGATCTTCCTCCTGCCTGGCAGGCGAAGAGGCCGCTGGGGCTGGGCAGCTCTCCCCAGGGCGGGTGGGGACGCTGAGCCCAGGCCCATCCTGATTTTGCAGGAGCAAGCAGGGCGGCTCCCCGGGCGCGTACGACCGGAGCTTTCGCTGGAAGTACCACCAGTTCCGCTTCCTCTGCCACGTGAGTAGAGCGGCCGGCGGGCCCTGGCAGCTCGGGGGCTGGAGGGGTGCGTGGATGGCCTGGCCCCGCGGGCAAGGAGAGCTGCTGTGCCAGCCTGCACAAAGCCTCGTGTCTCTGCCTTGCTCGTAGTCGAACGCTTTGCCCAGCCACGTGAAGATCAGCGTGTCCCGACAGACGCTCTTTGAGGATTCCTTCCAACAGGTGAGGGTCGCTGGGGCCGCGGAGCCCAGGGAGGGTGTGGAGCCAACCCCGCGGCAACGCTTCCCCTCGCTTCTCCCCAGATCATGAACATGAAACCGTACGACCTGCGGCGCCGCCTGTACATCATCATGCGAGGGGAGGAGGGCCTGGACTACGGCGGCATCGCCAGGTGAGCACCAGCGTGCTGCACCACGCGCCTGCCGCTGCGCCCTGCCCGCAGCCCGAGTCCCGAGGGGGCCCCGGACTTTCTGCAGGGCAGCGGTGGAGCCCAGGGGTGTTCAAATGGGAAACTGAGTTTTAGGAATGGTGGAACACCCTGAAAGCGCCGCTCCATTGAGAGGCAGCCGCCAGGCCCCGGTGTTTGCTGGAGTGAACGTGGGGTGACGTGGCTGCTGCTGCAGCCTCGGCCGCTTGCCCTGAGGATGGTGTTGCCATGGAGCAGGGGCGGCATCTCGGCTGGCGGCGGGGTCCCGTGTCCCCGTGAGCCCCCGCTGGCTCACTCGCAGCGGCTGCGTGGTGCTGGGCTGCTGCTTGCCCCCACTTGCCGCCACGCCGGCGTTGGTGCTGCCGCACGCTCGCCCGCTGCCCCCGGTCTGGCGCAGGGGCTCCTGCTCTCCGCCTCTCTCCGTGTCCTGCCAGTGGTTTTACCCTATGGTAGGTTACGTCATGCTGTTCTACCACAGGGTAGAACCACGGACGGGATGCCGGGGCTGCCTCCGCGTCTGAGGACTCCTGTCTCCCTGCGTGGCCGGGGCAGCAGAGCCAGGATGGGGCCCGTCCCGCGCTGCTCGGGGTGTGTGGGTGTGCACAACAGCCTGTGTGTGTGTGTGTACGTGTACCACAGCCTGGGTGGGACGCAGCCACATGGTGCCTGCTGGGGTCTCCCGTGCTCCGAGCGGGGCCTCTGGCAAACCGGGGTGTTTCTTGCTGGTGTGTCCAGAAGCCAAACCCCGCACAGCACCCCCGCGGCAGAGGGTGCCCTCGCCAAGACACCAGGGCCCAGCACCGGCACCCTGAGGAGACGGGTGCCCAGTTTGTGCGTGGTGTGCTGCAGAGGC